CCTTTTTTAAAGATCATTTTACTGGGGGTTCTTACAGCTCTTATAACAATCCATACATCAAATGTATCAAGCACATTTGTAAATGTATCCAGCCCTCCCCTACAGAATGGTAATTTCTACTAACTATATCCCAGAGCCACAGAGGGAGAAATTGATGTATGGACGCCTGTAAAAACCCTTGGATTCTGTGCTGACCTGCAGAACACCAAGAAATCCACCCCTTGTCTGGCTACCCAGACTTTAATGATGAGCTGATGGCACCCTTGTCCACTGCTAATTAATCACTGCTCACCCGACATAATAGGGTAGGGGTTGAACCCAAACCTGACCAGAGGATTCATGTACTTCTGAGTCCTGGTGCTGAGAGAGTCCTGACGCCCCATTGCACTCCAGCTGGCTAGGGGAGATTTAGTTTGCTGTGAACTGACTCCCAGTGTCTGGCTGGGACTCTTGGGGACTGGACTATGTCAGAACTTCCCTAGAGCACAGAGAGGACTGACTGACCCAGGGTGGATGCAGAATTAGGAAGGTAAATATTATGGGAGAGAATCCGTGTGGCAGTGACTTGAGTGTTTCTACAGAGACCCAGGATTCAAAGTGTTAGCACCTGGTTACCCACTGGCCCACACCAAGTAGCAACTGGGCCTAACTCTGACATTCAGGACTGGCAGCTCCTGCGGAAGGTGTTGTAAAAGTCTTCTTCTTGCCCTGTCATGTTGATGGTCCCTGACACTTCTTGGTGACTTGGGAGGCAACCTCCAAACCGGATGGAGGCAATAATTAATAGTTTTCCATTGCTGGCTCCTGCTAGGGGTAGACTGGTGCCAAATTGCCTGACGACCCTTGACTACCCAGGTTACACAATAAGTGCATGGGGGTTGCTTTGCACTCAAAACAAACAATAATGCTATGTATCAAAAATAGCAATCAATTTCTTTACCTGAAAACTGGAGAAAGCAACCCAGTTAACTGGTCTGTATACAGTTTGGGACCCAGAGGAGCCTCTGGAATTGTTGGGGGGGGGGGGGGGGGGGTTGGCTATAGGTCCTCCCATGAAAGAGATTATAGTGATGATCTCAAAAAATACTCTAAAAGACCATTCTGGCAAACAAAAAGTTAAGAAATAATTCAACAACTACAAATACAGTTCAAAAAGAAAAACACTAAAATATTAGAACTCGATAACACTTTGAAAGAACAAAACAGAAGGATTGTAGCAATGGAATCAAGAATCAGTGATCGCAAAGACAAATCTTTTGAGACCAAAATACAAGTATGAATGGATTGTGATAAGAGTTGTACGAGCCCCCAATAAAATGATTATTTAAAAACAAGCTTATCAGACAGTTCGTAAATATTAAAGTAGCTCTGTCTTCCATTGTCCATTAAATAACCATTTTATAACTTAACAATAGCATATTAAAAATATTTAACACAAAATAAATTCCACAACCCTATTATCTTGATACAATACATTTACATGCATTTTTTTCAAATATAAAAAGCATATGCATTTTATTTAGATGGCATCATGTGTTCATAACTATTATAGAATTGTAGAGATTTTAAAAATAAAGACAGGTATAAAAAAAATAATACTACTTTGAGGCATAGAAAGAAAGAAAGAAAAAATAACTGCCAACCCAGAATCCTATATACAGCAAAAATATCCCTCAAAGATGAGGGAGAAAATCATTTTCAGATAACTGCACACATCAAAAATGCAAAAAGAATTAAATACCTCAGCACATTAACTACAACAATTAAGAAAAGAACCGCAAAACAAACCCACAGACACTAGAGGAAACAATAATAAAATTAAGGTAGAAATAAATGAATTAGAAAATGAAAAATCAATAAGACAAGAATTTGGTTCTTGAAAAAATGAACCAAATCAATAAACCACTGGCAAACCTAACAAAGGAAAAGAATGAGAAAAAAGGCAAACTGTTCAAATAAGAGATAAAATTCATGAGATCAAACAGAACCCACTGAGATTTAAAAAATAATGAAAGCACCATGAAAAATTATATTCCAACAAATCTGAAGACCTCCAAAAATGGATTAATTTCTAGACACATATTATCTACATAAATTACCACAGACTGACGTAAAAATTCTCACCAAGCTTACAACGTGAGAAGAAATAAATTTACTCTTTAAAATTTATCATCAACACCAAAAAGTCTGGACTAGATTTTATGGGGTTATCCTACCAAACATTTAGAGAAGAATTAACATTAATCCTACATAAACTATTTCAGAGTATGCCAACAGACAGTATATTACCAAACTCATTTTCTGAAGCACGTATAACCCTGAAACCCAAGCCAGATCAAGACATCACCAGAGTGGAAAAATCAAACCAATACCTTTGGTGAATATTGAATCCAAGATTTTAAAGAACATTCTACTCAACATCAGGCAACAAAAAATGAATTCATATGAGATAAGGATGGTTTAATATAAGAGAAACAGTGTAGTCTGTCACATAAATAAAGAATAAGAAAAATATAATTAATAGATGTAGAAAATGCATTTGATAAAATCCTCTATTTTTGATAAAAACAAATAGGAGTAGAAGGGAAATTCCTCAATAAAATAAAACCTATATATGCGAAATCAACAGCCATCATCTCACTTAGTGGAGAGAAATTGTAAACATTTTTCAAACGGTCACGGTGGACCTTAATCACCCCTCTTACATAATACAGTCATGGAAGTTTTCGCCCGAGCTGTAAGACATCAAAAAGATATTAAAGCCATCCACATTTGGCACAGAACTATTTGCAGGTGATGTAATCCTATATCTAGAAAACTTCAAAGATTCTATTTAAAAATTGCTGGAATTAATTGAGAAATTTGGCATAATAGGATATAAAATCAACATACAGCAATCAGTTGGATTCTGGTATATTAAAGGAAACACCAAAAAGGATATTAGAAGAACAATACCATTTACAATAACTACCCAAAGGATAAAATATTTAGTTAGAAATCTTAACAAAAGACATACAAGGAAAACTACAAAACACTCCTATAGGAAACCAAAAGAAACTTAGATAACTGGAACTTTAGTGAAAATACTAATAGTACCAAAATCACTTTACAAATGTCATGCAATTTTGATCCAAATCACAGTCCCATTCTTTAAGGAAATTGAAAAACTAATCATCTTCATGTGGAAAAGCAAGAAACCTAGGATAACTAAAACACCATTCAAAAACAAAGCTGGGGCCCTTTTACTCCCAGACTTTAAAACTGTTATATAGCCCCAGTAATCCAAACAGTGTGGTACTGGTACAATAGACATGAAGACCAGTGGACTGGAAACGTGCAGCCAGAAAAACCAAATACCTACAGACAAACACCTGCTTTTTGAAAAAATGAGAAAGTGATAGTGTTTTCAATCAACGATGCTCAAAAAATTGCGTCTCCACCTGAAAAAGAATGAAACAAGACCATACATATGTACCAACAAGACCACACCGTGTGGTCAAAGACTTAAATATAAATCCTAGAACCATAAAGACCATCAGTGAAAAAATGGGTTAAACTTGACCGTAATACAAGGCATAAATATACTTCTGGACATAATTTAAAATTTTCACACTATAAGAGACAAAGGAATGACACCTAAAAATATGACATTTATGCACATCAAAAGGCTTCATCAAATAAGTTAAACTGTTGTATTAATCTTCACCAAAAACAGTAAAATATTTTTTGAATATTTTTTTATTTTGTTATTGTGATTTAGATGAGTTTACAGAGCAAATTGGTTTTTCATTCAATTCATACATGTTTTGCTTCGTGACACTAATTGTTATCCCCACAATGTAATAGCAGTCTTCCCACTTCCTCCCATTTCCCCTTTCCTTTTACCCTTTTGTAAAAAATTGTAAATTTGGTGGCATCTCCGATAATCCACTTGGTATTCAACTGTAGCACTCAACACCCATGTCCCCCCAATATAATTCACCCCTCATCTGCTCCCTGATTTCTCCCACTGTGGACTACTGTCTTTCATATCACCCAAGTCTGAAAAGTTCAGCAAAATTCCAAGCCTGTTCTCTTTGGTGTGAAAGTCTTTAACTTGTTTTTTGTTGTTGTTTATTTTCATAAAACAGTGGTCTCATATGATATTTGGCTGTTTATGATCAGCTACTTTCAGTATAATGTTCTCAGGACCATTCATGTTATTAGGTGCTTCTTGGTTTTGGCGTTTTTGTTTGTTGTTGTTTTTTAGCGATGCATAGTATTCTGTTGTGTGTATCGATTTCCTTATACATTCTTCTGATAGTGGTGAGTTTGTCACAATAAATAGATTTAAATGTTCTGAGACACAAAATGAGTCAGAGTTCAAACTCCTTTATTAAAACTAAAATGTTCCAATCTTGTTATGAAATGACACAATTTCTTCACCTGTGCACAGAAACTCAAAAGAAAATTTATAATTTTTCTTAGAATTTTTCATGGAGTCACCCTCCCCTCTGAAACATTTAATGTGAAAAATCCATTGACGTCTATATATTAAAATGTGGTCTGGGATGTTTACTGCAAGGTTTGAAGAAGAAAAAAATTAGATCTTTAAAATATTTATAAAAATTGCTATGAAGTCTTAACCTTTTCAGTACTCTAAATTGCCCTCACACCTTCCATATATGTATCTTTTCAAACTTCTTTTTTATTTTCCACTCTTCCAAAGCTGTGTTCTGGCTTTGCAGTATCCAACTTGTTTGTAGTCTCTCGTTGTATTGCACAGCCTCCCATAACAAGAAGAAAAACCTACTGCCATCAAATGAGTTCTAACTCTTAGTGACCCTATAGGACAGGGGGAAAGTCCCCAAAATCACAAAGAAAAAAACTTTTGTTAGTTGGTCTGTTATTGTTGCCTTGTTTGTTACTTTGTTCAGCCCTGTAAGAATTTTATTAACGTCTTTCGTTGGGTGGTGGTCTGGATGTTGATCTAGGGTTTGTCAGCTATTATTGTTGAGTACGCCCTCTTACTACTTTTTGTAATACTGCTTTTGTTTTTACAGATTCCTTTAATTTCTTGTCTAGAAATCTCTCATTTTTCCCATATATTTGAATGATAATCCTATTGAATATAAGAGTCTTGGTTACTAATTTTTTTCTTTAAAGATTTTATATATTATATCACTTCATTGTCTTCCTGCCTGCATGGTTTCTGCTGAAAAATCTTCGCATACTCATATTGGTGTTCCTCCTTGATATTGGACAATGTAACTATGATATGTTTTTCTGTTGGGGTCTATCCAGCCAACTTTGTGGATAGTCATTTCCTCTTAAGCTGTTGGGCACGTTTTCTATCAGGATTTCTTGCACTATTTTCTCTCTGGATTTTGTTTGTTTATCTGCTTCTTACTAGTCTAAGATTCCAGTGAGGAATAAATTGTTCCCCTTGATAATGTGCCACAAAATTCAAAGGCTTTCTTCAGAGTCTTTTGCTTTTTTGGTGATTTTACCTGTTTTATATTGATACTGAGAGATTTAATTTATCTTCATGCTCACTAATTCTTTCTATTTGCTCAATTTTGTATCTCTGGTCTTTTATACTTTTCTAATTCTGTTATCTTACTGTTCATCTTCTGGATTTCTATTTGGGGTAAAATTCTAGTTTTTCGATTTTACATTTCTCAAACTCTTCCTCTGTTGAAATTGTCAGAAAAACATTCTATTCTTCTGTATTCTTTTACTTTTAGTTTCAGGGCTTTCATCAGAAAATTCCTCTAGTCCTCATGTTATTCATTTGTTTTGCCTGTTTTTCTTGTTTGTTTGTTTCATGTGGACAGAGACTGGCTTCAGTCTCCACAGTATCTTGCTGCTACCATTAAGATTGGGAGAGCTGCTAGATTGTGTTGGGGTAGTTGACTCTGTCAAGTGGTTCCAAGAAGGAATAATAAAAAACAAGAAACACTCAAGCTCACTGTCATTGAGTCAATTCCAACTCATAGTCACCCTATAGGACAGAAAAGAACTGCCCCTGTGGTTTCCAAGACTAAATCTTTACAGCATTAGAAAGCCTCATTTTTTTTCCTGTAGAACAGCAAATAGTTTCAAACTGTTGACTTTGTAGTTAGTCTAACTTGTAACCCATTATGCCATCAGGACTCCTACAAAGGAATGATAGAAACTAACAAAACAGAAGGAGGAATAAGAGAGTGTGTTTGTCTGGGTAAACTAGAGAAACAAATTCATAAACATGCATATGTATATAAGAAAGTTTTATATACAAGAGCAGTTGAATATTGAGAAAACATCCCAGCACAGTCCAAATCAAGTCCATAAGTCCAATATTAGCCCATATGTCTGATACCCATCTATAAAGTCTTCTTCAGACTCGTAAAACACATGCATTGACACCAAATGCAGAAAGTTCACAGGCCAGTGGATGGGAAGTCTTGTGGATCCAGTGGCGTAAGCATCTCAGGGCTTACAGTTCTCCACACGGCTTTTTTGGCTCCAGATGTCTGGCTCCATCAGCCTCTCTCCATATGTCTTCTCCACAGGGATGTCTCACAGGGAGTGAGCATGTGTCCCGCCTCCAGTGAGCTCTTTATATTCTTAGCGCCTCCAAATGAGGTCATCAAGCTACTACCTGATTTATAGGTTAGACTCCACCCCTACACTCTGAATCCTCAAATTGACACCAGATTATGTAACTACCACAGGGGGAGAGTTGAGGAAAATGTGGGAGAGGAGAAAGGGAAAGGAAAAGGAAAAATGGAGGGGAAAGTCTTGCAAAAGAAACAAAGGTACCTTACAGCACATCAGACATTTCACACCGGAAAGAAACCTCATGTCTGTGGTGAATGTGGAAAAGCTTTTACCTGGAAGAGTAAGCTCACTGTTCATCAGCGAACTCATACTGGAGAGAAACCGTATGTAT